TGTTGCAATTGCCTTTTGCTTGGCCCAAGTGTTAGTTTTGATCGTTGAATTGGGTATTTGACTGTCCAATTGGAGACAGTTGTTGAGTCTGTGGGTGGAATTGTGTCCATTGCTGAAACTTGTTATTTTGATTAGCACTAGCACCGCTCTTAGTTTGTTCGACTTGTTGTTTTGGTGCATTGTTGGGAGCTGTGCTATGGTATTTTGAGGTACTTTCTGCGTCTGTTTTGTTGAATTGGAAGGCTACTGTGTCCCTTTCTTTGCTTATTGCTGATCGATTGTGTCTAATTGACTTGCTGGGATTATTTTACCTATTGATTTCAATTGCTAAATCTTTAGAGAATTTGTTGCAATTTTGGACGGCCTTAATTCTGAATTTAACTACATGGGGTCCATAAGTACTTATTGATTGCATTTGCTATAAGTGTTGGGATCTGGTTTAATCTGTGGGAGATTGAATTGTGCATTTTGCTCATTGGGATGGCTTTAAAAATTGTTATTGCTTTGAATTTTCGGCTTCCATTATTTGTTGGGAATTGTAGTCTCTTGTTGCTTAGAGTGATATTTAGAGTTCATGGTGAAGCCACGAATGGCACCAGCTCCGGATGCGAGTTGAGAGACTAGAGATTCGGATGACGTCTCCATGCAGGTCTTGATCCACAATGCCCCTGTTTTGATGACTTCAGGGAAGTACCGTTGACCCTCTCCTTCCTTCTACTTTTACATTATCACATTGAGGGCAATGTGGGAATTAGGTGTGGGGGGGAAATCAGTTGGGGTGCTAGTATTTTTGTTTTTAGTTTCTAAAGGCTTTTTGTTTTAGTTTGATATTTATTTTTATTTTTATTTTTTTCGTTTATTTTCTTTTCTTTTTTTCTTTCTAGTGGTCAGTCTTCATATGAATACCAAGTTTGATGCTGGATTGTTGTCTCTAATTCTGTTATTGCCAAGTTTATTAATAAAAAGGTATCAAGTTGATGTGGTTGAGTTCAGGAATAGCTCTTTGGTGAATATCAATAATTGCTTAACTTTTCCAATTTTTGGTTAATTTTTCTAGGCATAGGGAATGATTGTTGGCATTTTTTCATGTGAATTGGTCCAGTTATTAATTTTAGTTCTCATGTCTAGAAATTTGAGGCTGGCTGCTGTTATTCTTGTGTTGCTTTTAGATATCGTGCTATATGATGTAAATAAGTATTGACTGTACTCCGCTAGTAGTTACTACTGAGTAACCGGGGATCTTCACCTAAAGTGTCGATTCTCGCGTCAAAAGGTAGTAGTTACTATGAGTGCGTGGTCCCGTAGCGATTGGAGCTGAGTAACCGGGCTCCTCCATCTATCAAATGTTGGAGTTCGCGTCAAAAGGTTCTAAGGGCTATAGACTAAGTCTTTTGTTATCCAAAAAAAAAAAAAAAAAAAAGAAACAAAACAAAACGAAAAGGAAAAAAATAAAATAAAGATTGTGTTAGTATGTGTATAAGTCAGCTTGCCGGTTTGTGATCTTAATGTCGAGATTTTGGTTAGTAATTGGACCGTTTACTAATAAATGTGAGCAACCATTCCTTTTTCTTAGATTAGTTTGCTTTAAATTGGAGGAGTTTGTGGTTTAGAAGCTAACCGGAGTGATGTTTCATGGATCTTGACCATTGATGCTTGATTATTATTTTTCTTGGTATCTTGGCAATACGGTAGTTGGAGCAATAGCCATTGTCGAATTTTTGGTGTTCAGTTGCTGTTCCCATGCTTGGGCAAGCATGATTTAGGTGTGGGGGAAATTGATAGGGTGTTAATTGTTGGTTATTTTATTGGTAATTTTCCCCTTTATCCTTGCCAAATATCGTTTTAATTATTAATATTTACTTATATTTGGTATTGGACTCAATTTCAGGAAGTGGAACAGAAAACTACAACAAATGAGGGACTTTTCACTATGCAATTGAGACTTCAAACAGTTGGGCCCCATATGGTGCTACAAGGAAGCCTTTTTCGGTTGATGGCCCACAAGGAGAAGAAGAAAACGAATTCCTTTTCTTTGTGCTGATGGGAGTCTTTGACTAGCAATAGGAAACTAAACAAGGAGGAATTTCGGCAGAGCCTCAATTCTTTGGCTTTTGGACTCCTTAGTCGGCGGGGACCACTGGATAGCAGGAAGTCATTTCCCTTTGGCTTTAAAAGGACGAACGTGCAGAAGTTTTCGGGACGATAGTTAGAGCTTAGTTTTTTTAGTTTCTTTTTCCCATCGAAGAACATTAGAAAGCTCCGATTGTTTTATTTTCTTGCAACTGGTTCTCCATTAATGGAGAACTAGCTTCTCAATTCTAGTGAAGGGAACAACTGAAGACTTGGTTCAACAATTACTGTGAGATCGAAATTATTTTAATCGCTTCCTCATTTATTGGTATTTATGTGTTTCTTGTTTTTAATTGTTATAGTCCTTATGTATGATTGATTAGTGCGCAATAATTAATTATTCATATAGGCTATTTTGCTAAATAGATGTAATTGAATCCGTAATTGTTCGTTATCTCTATCTTAGTAGCAACTGGCGTAATTGGGTTTATGTCAGGGGAGCATATGATCTAGTCTAAACAAACCCTCGTAGCGTGTTTGTTGGTTAGGATTGGGCCTTTCTAATTATTAATGCAATCTAGAAATTAAATCCTACGGTCGTACCTAGGGTTGTTTTTGGGTTAGAGAAATAGTCAACGGTCGTACCTTGGCTATCGACAAATTAAGGAAGGGTTGGTTGTTTATCGCGTGCATGACAACTATAACTAATCTATTACTAAATGTTGGAATTATTTCTGTATCAATGATCAGTACATGAACCATTTCTGAAGTGTACCCTTGGCTAGAGTTTCCCCTTAATTATTTCTTGGAATTAATTATTTCCTGCAGTTAATTTATTTAGTTAGCATTTAATCCAAAACCCCCCATACTTTGAACTCTAGAAGAAACGAATTATCCCCAGTCCCTGTGGATTCGACCCTACTCACCGCTATATACAAAATCTGTATTTTTCTCGAGTAGGTATTTATTATTGTACAAGTTCGGCACCTGTCATCACATTTTAGCAAAATTGCTTGAATTATAAGATGCACATAGCTGAGTTAAGATGTATTATGAGACCAAATGATAATTCATAAATTTAATTAAGTGTCTGCTAGAAAATCTACATCCATCAATCAAAACAATCGAATGGACTCCGGGGGATCTTTTCCCTCATGGCGCTGGGACGGACCGTAATAGTAGGTGAACTCTTGAGTTTTTGTCTATCTATGCATTTCTTTGTATACCCAAATAAAAAAAGTTCAACAGTATTAATATTTCTAACGCTTCATATTTCAACATACTCCAAAGCATGTCAAAACAAATAAAATTGGTTTCTCATCTATGTATGAATTAGCCCTTTTCTTATTTCAAATGTGCGGGTAAATCTGGGCTATATAAGCATGCCTTAACTTACTCTGCAAAAAAAAAAAAAAAAAAAAAGCTAAAGCCTTTCCAAGGTGGAAATTGGGTGAACTCAACCCGCATTATTCACTACTCTTTGGACGACGCAATCACATTAAAGTCCCATCCATTAGTCAAGGTGCAAGTGCAATCTTAGATGCATTTGATAAAATTGAAATCTGAAATCTGAATTTATTAAATTATTAAATATTAAATTTAATACATTTAAATGCATATCAAAATCACTTTTTTGACTTATTTAATTTGTTAGATTGAGAAATCATAGTAGCTACGTACGGATGGAACAACTTTTCTCCGAGGAGACTCTGAGTCTTTCAAACACTGACAAAAAGAAGACTTGAAGTCTTCCATTAGGTTAGAGACACTTGCAACGGAGGTGGGGCAGGAAGCAATCGTTTCTAAAAATTAATGATCAAAATTTGAAAAAAAAATATAAAATTTAGATTATATCTTGTATATTATTTTTCACATTATGTATGAAGTCCACAAAATTTTATTACATAATTACATGTTATTAAAAATAAATTATATTATATATATATATAATTACATATTATTTAATTTGCATAAAACTGGCAGAACAATTTTAGTAACAACTGCGTGTCCCTTCGTGACAAAGATGGATCTAGCGTCTAGTTCCAGTGCTTCTCCTCAGAGACTGGAATTTCCTTTTTTTTTTTTGGAAAAGACACCGGGAAAGCTTGCTTTCACCTTCTTACTCCGAAATTATACCAAACTGTCAATGATAGGATACAATTAATTAATAATATTATTATTAGTAATAAATTCGATCAACGATTTGGTAAAAACAGGAGAAATACAACCGAAGTCTCTAAAAAAAAAAAAAATCTCTCAGTATCAAGGGTGCACCTTGCAGACGTATCCAAAAAAGCATGACTAACAAAATGGTTGTGCAATTTCAACAATATATGAAGATCACAAATTAAAGGGGTAAAATGTGGGATAACTTGTAATCCAATTCTAGCTAGAAGCATCTCTCTAGAACAATCTGAGCATGTCTTGGTAAATTTCTAGACAAAAAGTGAAAAGATGTCGAAGTAATTTATCTAGACTAATATACTGGGTACTATGGTGGATTATAGGGTGAAATGCATAATCTATAACCATGAAGTAAAAGTTGAGGTCATTAGTAAGTGGGCTACACCAAGGAGATCTTGGTTGAATGATTTATGGTTCAAACCCAAGAATTAGAGTCATTGGCTTCAAATTCCCCTACCCCTCCCTTCTTCTTAAGTTCTACCCTTCTTTGCTGGAAAAAATTTTATTAAAAAAAAAATAGCGAATGGACTACTCTATAAATGCAGCACCAAACCGTCAGCAAGGTAGCAAGAAAACAGCCAGTTACAGAAAGTAGCAATAGCATTACAAAGCCTTTGATTCTAATTATCCCTGTTGTGCCAAATTTCGACTTTCAATAAAAAGTTCCTCTTTGAATCCCATTGCCACCTATTCACACAACTATTCGGGGTATCAAATTAAGACCCTCGTACCCAAAAAAGACCTTGATGGAGCAAACCTTGGACGTGGCTGCTCAAGAAAACAACATCGATGCCTTTTATGGATTACTCGGGCAGGCTCCATACATTTTAGATCACATAGATGCAATCCCATTTGTGCAGACACATTTACACACTGCTGCATCTGCCGGCTTAACTCACTTAGCAAGTGAAGTCCTTCGCTTGAAGCCTTCGCTTGGTAAGAAGCTCAACCTTGATGGTTTAAGTGCACTGGATCTCGCGTTGCGCGGTGGACATACTCAAACTGTAAGAGGGCTCATCAAGCATGACCCTCAGCTCATTCGTGTCAAAGGAAAAAGAGGCATTACCCCCTTGCACTATGTTGCTGAAGCAGAGGATAGAGCTGATCTCCTGGCTGAGTTTTTGTACAGGTGCCCAAAATCCATTGAAGACTTGACAATTGCAGGAGAGAGTGCTGTTCATATTGCTGTTAACAACAGCAACTTGAGAGGCTTCAAGGTACTACTAGGTTGGATGGAAGAAACTGGCAACAAACACATATTGGAATGGGAAGATGAGAATGGCAATACGGTCTTACACCTTGCAGCATCCAGCAGAAACAATATTGAGGCACGACTCCTGATCCCTTATCTTCATTCTAGTAGTTGGTCTTTATTTTTGACTGTTCATTCTTTTGTATCAATTAGCCTTTTGTTAGGCACAATCCACCTGCTACTTACAAACTCCTAAATAGAAATGTACATCTTCTACCCTTTTTTTGGAATGTTAGGAAGCATGATTTAGATGTACCTAATATACCTTTCCTAATCAGCATCAGCTATTGGTTTCCACCCAAAAAAAAAAAATCAACAATTGTTTTCTTAAATTGCATTATACGGGGAATTTTGACTTTGTATCATAATATTATGTCGATTTGGCTCAGGCCGCGAGATTAATTATTAAGCAACGGACGTTTAGGAGGGCTATCAACTGTTGCAACATGGCGGGTTTAACTGCACTTGATATTGCTTTAGGACATCCAAATGCAGAAGAGAATGGAAGTACTGCAAAAGCTTTGTGTGCTGCAGGTGCAAAAAGATCATCATCCCATTCAAAAACTATAAATTTAGCTGATTATTGTGCTTTGATTCCGGCGAGATCATGGCTGGGATATTTTTCTGCGCCAAATTCCAGATTGGTTAAAGTGCCAAATCCTAGAAATCCTAGCATTAATTCCATGTCTAGCGAGACACGCAGCGCGTTGCTTGTGGTGGCCGTGCTAATCGCAACAGCAACCTATCAAGCTATTTTAAACCCACCTGGAGGACTAGTTTCTGGAAGTACTGATATAAGCACCAACTCAACTTCAAACAGCACACATGCAGGGTACGGGGATCCGCAATTTTGGGCAGGAAGAACCCAAGCGGGGGACCTCCTTTCATAATTTTTATAGCGTTTAACTCAGTCCTTTTTGTGTTGTCACTCTTCACCATTTATTTTCTAGTTGAAGCAGATGACACTTGGGGTAAATTCCCGGAAACGGCATTAGCGTATTTTGGTTTATGCTATGCAATTTCACTGGCGATAATAACACCAGATCTAGTATCGGTAGTCGCTGGCGTCGTAGGAATGCTCTTAGTGGTCTACTGGGGATTTTGGAAGTATTGTCAGCGAGAAATATGCGTAATGCAATTCGACAAATAATACCACTCCCAAGGGAAACCAGTAAGAAGGGAGGATAGAGGTAATAAGAGTAGGAGAGAAGACGCGTCCGTACAAGGAGATAGACGAGCAAAATCAGAAGCAAGCAGCTGTGGGGCACATGAGGAATCGGATATGAGTAACTGGGATTAACACCTGATGGTAATTCAGTCAGTCTAAAGAAAAATTGCTCTAGCAGCACATGAGTTGCTCTGACGGTAATATTAATACCTACCTTTGTATGACTATGTAAGGGCGTCCAGAAAATCATATATTGTTCTTATTTTTCATGTATGATCTCATTCCATAGTTCTCGTTTTTCATGTTGAGTAGGTCTTTTGCCTCACCCTTTGGCTCAGGTGCTCTGGATGGTGCTGGCCTATTTATGGTTTTATGCTTGGTAAACGTTTGGATTAATTATTTTGGGAGTATTTTTGAAAAATTTTATTGTAGCAGAATTTTTAGAGTATATTTTGGAATATTTAAGAGTAGTAGAGTTTTTAAAATATATTTTGGAATATTTTTTAAACATTACAAAAAATTTAAATTATTTTTTAGAGTACTTTTTAAAAATATTATAGTATTTGAAAAATTAGTTTTTGAAAAATAGAAAGATTCTTTTATTTTTTTCTGTTTTAGCGAAACAAAAGGCAAAAACTATACATGTTGAAAGGACAAATAGTAGACAGGACAGATGTGCTTACCATGTTGAGGTATTGTTTCAATAATTTCAGAGGCTTTGCAGCAAAGGACCATTCTTAAAACTATTGGTTTCAAAAGCATCGCAGATTTATATATACCACAAGCATTGTTTAGAAGTTCAAATGTCCTTGAATTTTAAAGATGTCGAATTCTAGCAAATATTGAAGGACACGAGTTTCCCAAACTTCTCTATATATTGTTCACTTATTTTAATGAGACCGAATGATTAATAACTAAAAGAAGAAGATCATATATGAACAACAATAAATTTCATGCAACTTTCATTGATTTCCAGTAACTCGAGTACATTAAAATGCAGGGATATTGTCTCCCATGTAATGTTACTTATGCCCCAATCAATTCTGTCCAGTAATCTCCCGTAAGTAATTTAGAGCATTAGTTGCCAACACAGAAGAGTAATTTAGAGCATTGGTTACATACCATTATTTAGAAATTCATAAATAAATGTGGAATTCAGTAACAATGCAAAAAAAAAAAAAAAATGGAGCAACTAGTATGGGACATCATTATCTTTAATACAATGGGAAATGAAGAATCTGTATTACACAGCATTTGTTAATTTATTTAGATCCAGAATATAATAGGGGGAATGAATGTATATGTATAACAAAAGTAGCTAGATCCAATAAGTAAAATTTCCCATCAAACTTACTCACTATATTAATACTACTAGGGGGAGTGCCCGCGCATCGCGCGGGTGTTTGATGCCTGTGGTTAAAGAAGTGTTTTCGTTGAACTAAAAATAGTACACTGGGCGACATAATTAGAGGCAGGTACGATTACGAGACAAACAACATAAGAGCAACCCAATATTAGAATCAGCAAGTTCCCAAAGACAAATAAGTAGATGCAACAAATTCCCAAAAATGTACGGACAAATAGGTTTCCCATGATCCAGATAGATAATAGAGTAGTTCAAAAGGACATTATGTATGTCCACTTATTTAGTGATAGTAATAGTAGTAAAATCTTTTAGATGCTGTAATAGGCAGCATTCAGATACGTTGCTTCTTGGTGGTTTCTTCATTTTGTTTTGCAGGGGTTGTACCACTGGTTCCTTCACTGGACTTTGTAGACGGTGAGGGTGCCAAAGTGGTTGAGTTGTCTCTTTTCTTTGTCTCCGCTGCTTGTATTGCAACATCCATTTGTGTTACTTTAGAGTTGAGGTCTAGGTTGTCGGCTACTTCAATTGCGCTTATTGCACTTCCGGTATTCCAGGATGCAGATGTTGTTCCGTAGTGACAAATATTAGAAAACCACACAAATGACTTGATACCCAGAAAGCTAAGGCTCTGCTTGGATTGCATTTTCCATCCGAAAATGCTATTTTCTGCAGAATGGGTCCCACAAATTTTCAATGGAAAGCATCCAACATTTTTCACAGCGTCGGAAATTACCCATCAAAAAACACTTGAACGTTACAACTGTAGCAGACAAGACATATAACTGTGAAAGCCTCACTTTATTTCCTTTCTGCTAAACGATCAGCAATCTTGCAACATCACCCATTTGGCGTAGCTTTTGAATCAAAAGATAGCCTTTGAACCGTATTGCTTCTCCGCATCTAATTACTTTCCTCTTTGGAGATCTTGGCATCATTCACATCCCAAGATCTGCCTATCCAAATGCCAAAATACTAGCAACCATTAAGCTTGGTCGGCTGTAGATTGTGCCGGGTGGAGCGTACTGAGCTTGGCGTGCGCTTGCTGCTACTGCGGCTCAAACGTTGCTACGTGACGGCGGCGTGGCTCAAGGCTGTTTCTGCGGCGGAGATACTACATACCAGGTATGTAGCCCTTTTACTTCCATTAGATCGGAAACCTTCATTGTTGTTGAAGAGAATTACAACACTGCTACACAAAGTGCATTCAGTAATTGTGAAAATTGAATGGGGGTGTAATTTGGGGTTAGGTGTACGGAACCACCGAAATTGAAGGCCCTGCTTACCTTGGTTGTTTGGCTGCAAAAATTGACGATCCGTTTAACCAATGCAATGAGATGATATCTTTGTATTTGTGGGTAATTTGGAGTGCACATTGTACTGAATGCACCTACATTTATGCTATTTCCCTATTGGTTCATGAAACAAAGCTCCCTACCCTGCTTAATCCCCCATAATTTTTGCTTAGTTTGTCGATTGGCTTGGGTGTACATATCAAACTGTGGGAGGGAAATTTGCTGGTTTGCTCTATAGTAGCGCATGATAATACTGAACCTATATTTTGTTGTGGCCATGGCTCTGACATACGAGTACCCCTTACGCGAGTGTGGTTACGGGTTGCAATTTTGTCTATGCTTTTCAGTACGAATCTTTTTATTACAAAACACAGATATGAAGCTTGATACGTAGAGTAGATTTGATGCCTTTGTTTGCCATACTCTTGCTTCTGAACACTCTAGTTAATGAGGTAAATCATGTTTTGTGTATTATGTGTGCCATGGATGTCCATTATTACTATCAATACTTGTTAGCAAGTGTAAAGTAATACAACATTTTCATATCCTGAAATGTAAAAAAAAAAAAAAAATTAGTAGGTTTGAACTGTGGATTCCGTTAGTGGATCCAGTTTAAGGTATTTTACAAAGTTTTTGGTTTATTTATCCAAACCACTGTGTAATGCATATCGAAACAGGCCAGATGGTTGGTTAATACTACCAATGACGTCTTTTGTTTGATGCCTTTCGGCAACAGAAAACTTTTTTGCAACGTCCTTGTTTTGGTTGCATTCCTTCCAGGCATTGGCATACCCTCTGATCTGTGCTGCATCTATTTCGATCGCCTGCACACCCGTTTGATGTCTTCAAGTCCCCATAAAATAAAAGGTGAAATACTTACGTTTGCCTTGTATTCATGGGATGGGATAATTAGTTTGCTTGTATATAAGTCACTGCTTTGGGTCATATTTACACGTACTTAGCCTTATTTTTCCTAACAGTACCACCTATAATTTAGGAACCTCCCCTACGCCGTGTTCTAGTACGAGCATTTCTTGTCAATCAGAGAGGGGATCAAACGATCTTGACGGGTGCTTGAAGTACTATCACAATCGTACTTTAGTGTAGGTGTTTCAAAGACTGCCCTATTTGATTTGATTGATTTTTTAATGCCTTTGCATATTGCCACTAATGGTCGACTGATTCAGCTGTATTTGGAATTACGTGTTAGATGGCCCGAGGCAAGACTAATGATAGTGGGGTTTCTAGTGCTATTGCCAAGTGGGAATACGAAATAGAGTGCTATTATGTTCAGCTGTTGCAGGAACACAAGGAAGTTGGCAACTTGTCCAAAAATAACATAAATGCCTGTGTGTTTGAGGATGTCCGGATAGACTGAACATGAGGTTTTGCCATAAGTCATACGACTGGGACCAAGTCAAAAGAAAGTACTACAGTTTCATAAGGGTTGCACGGCTATTCAAGGAAGTTGGTAACCAAACTGGCGTAGGGTGGAATGAAACATTAAAGTGCTTCTCTGCACCAGATTATGTTTGGAGATACTATGGCCAGGTTAGGGACTTGCACTTAGTCAATCCATTTTATCAAATTGGGCAATTCATCGTCTATGTCCTATCCAGAAGTGTCTTAATTTGATTAATAACCATTTACGCCTAAGTTTCCACTTATATTTTGTTTAGGACAAAGATATAAGTCTTATCAAGAATCGTCCTAGCGACCATTACTGGAATTTGGTTGAACTTTTTGAAGATATTGGCGTCCTAGGAACTTACGGCCAGTCTTCCAATGACCCACCTGTAACTGGGGAAGAGGGCCGATCAAGGCAAATGAACTATGGTAGAAATGCCGGTGACTGCACAATAGGTACTGAGGGGTCTACGCCAGGGTTGGAAATTCCAATTGATGTAGACGCTGAGAACTGCGATGCGGTCTCTGACGAGGAGCCACAACGCCGAGGTGGCAAGAAGGGGAAGCAGAAGAATAGTCGAGGTACCTCTTCTGTGCAAGAGGGTTCAAGGTCTTTGTCTGACAAGAGAAAGCGTGGTGAAATATATGATCGTACTTACGAGGAGTTTGGCCTTGCAGCTAAGGCAAAGCGTGAATACTACTCCAGTAAGTCTAGATCATATAATTCTCCTGACCCTAATTCTCAGGACTCCGCCGCCAACTGTGTAAAAGAAGTGGACAAATTACAAACCTTCCTTCTTGAAGGCCAGGCCAATAAGGCATACGGTTTCTTTAAGGAAGATGTATGGAGGCAGATGTTTTATAGCAATGTCCCCTGCCCAGAGGATTTCATGGATTAATAGCCTGTAACGTGATAGCCTTTAACGTGATCTTTGAAATCATGTTATTCTCCATACGGAACCGATGACCTTGTACTTGAGAGCACTTGGTCTAGTTTTTAAATAGTCTGTTGTACGCTTATGTAGAACCGTCTCACGTACTAATTGGTGCTTTAGTCCAAACTTAGATGTTGTCCGAAGTTGTTGTTCATTGCTTTGTATGTCAAAACTGAAGTTTTAGAATTGGCAATGAAATAAACAGAATGATGGTATCTTGTGGTTAACTTAATGGCATGGCATGTTACATAATAAGTACTTCTATTACTAATGTGCAGCTGGCCTAATGAACTGGAGATGTAATGAATTTTTTCTTTTTTGGAGTTGAAAGTCCTTTCAACATTGTAACCAGAATATTATACAACAGTAGGACTTCCTACGTCTTCTCTCTTCTTCTGGTTTTAAAAAAATCAGATGACTTCTACCTCTCTTGCCTCTAGCTCTCTGGCGCCGGTACTTTATGCTGTTAAATCACCCAAAACTTTGCTAAGCTGAGGAATAGAAGGTAACTATTGTTACTATGAGCATGCTAGTGCTTAAGTAACGCTTAGAGAGTTAGTAAGGATATATCCCCTGCCGTACAAGACAAACAAGAAAAACTGGTCCTACCATATGAAGTCTGGGCAAATGGTGATATAGATCCAGTGATTTTAAGGCCCAGCATTACAAGCTTAATATAATTTTCAGACTTTGTATACAAACAACTTTAAGGGATATAAAAATAGTACTAGTTTACATGAGCTTGGTTGGTACCTCAATTTGCTCGCTTCCATGATTTCCATGTTAGATTCAGTAGTCAAAACATTGTTAGATTTAGTTGGAATTAGGGACCCCGCATAGTTTATTTTGGGTACTTAGGTAAAGACTATCAATATGACAAAAAGAATAAACTTAGGATGCAAAATCTGTGTTCACAAATGGGTCGAGGCAATAGGACAAAACAAACTGAATAAAGGACTATATATAACCGACTAAGGGTTGCAAGTTAATTTTTGTTGTAAAGGAACACAGGCTAGTACATTTCACAGTCAGTGGGGAACTGATTTTGATCCGAGCTACACTATATAACTAAATGTGGCAAGCTGTTTTCACATGTTGTTGCCTCTAGCTCTCATGGATTGCAATGTCCACATGTTGTAGGTTTAACTTACATATAAATAATGCCCCACCACGAACTTGTTTTTATGGATTTCAGCATTGTCAGCTTGTACACTGGGTTTCCCTTTGTGCCTTATTTGTCCCCCAAATACATCTTTTCATCTCTCTGGGTTGGATATACTTCATCTGTTGAACCTTCCAACGCGCTCTGTTTAACTTTGTAGATGATAAGCGCGGAGACCATATTGTTTACAGATAAAAGCCACAATGCAGAATATAGTTGGAGAACAACATAGTGATTCATCGTCCGATGATGAAGAACTTGAGTTCTTAGCTTTGTTTGGTGTGAATGCACCTTTGAATGCACGCTACAATGTAGCTGGTGGGGTGGCGAAAAGCGTCGTTTTTATGACGGGGCAAAAAGTGGACAGGACTGGATCGATGACCTTAAAGCAGGACATCATGACAGAATGCTAAATGCATGAGGATGGATATTCCTTCTTTCTTAAAGCTATGTGAAATTTTAGTCAACGGAAATTTCATTGAACAAGAGGCTAATAGGCATGGCTCTACATTGTGTGAGCCATGATAAACGGCATCGAAATCTTGCCGAGAGGTTTCTCCACTCCACTGAAACGATCCACAGGAATATTAAGGAGGCATTGCAAGCTATTGTGCGTTTAGCCCCGATTTAATACGGCCGAGGAATGAGACTGGTGTGCATCCCAAGATATACAACAGCAATGCCTTTTATCCATGGTTTAAGGTTAACAGCTTCTATTGTCCTTCCAATACCTTTTGTCCGTAGTCTTGCAAGCAATTGAACAGGATACTAGATTGTGTGGTTGTTCCCGCTTCTAATACTAATATACACTTTTCACTTGTTTTCACATGGTAGGACTGTGTTGGCGCTATAGACGGAACTCTGATTCCCACCAGTGCGCCACTAACTCGGCAACGTGCTTTTCGTAGTAGAAAAGGCAAATTTCACAGAACGTGCTAGCTGCTTGTGACCATGACATGCGATTCACTTATATTTATGCTGGTGTTGAAGGGAGTGCTCATGATGCTAGAGTTTTTCAGCATGCTGTGTTGTCCCCTGATTCTTCATTTCCAATGCCGCCTGCAGTTAAGTTATCCTTCCTAATGTTTTGTCTTTTCACAATTGTGAAACTGGTTTAAGTTCAACTGAGATTGTGTAAGCTCTCCGGGCCTAAGCAACATGGTTTCCCTTCATCTATGTCCTCAACTAGGTAAATACTATCTTGTTGACTCGGCTTACAAGAATATGCCTGGTTTTTTGGCCCCGCATAAAGGCCACAGATACCAACGAGACCAGTTTGGCGGGGGATCTGGTGGACCAAGAGGCAAGTATGAGCTTTTCAATCACCGTCACTCGCAACTCCGCAATGTCATTGAGCGGACCTTCGGCGTGCTAAAGGCTAGATTCCCAATCTTGAAAGGGCCAATGCCAAACTACTTGATGAATAGACAAGTAGAATTGGTAATTGCCTGTTATGTATTACATAACTTTATCAGGGATGAGCATCCGGATGATGAGTTGTTTGCAAGGGAGTCCGGGGAAGATGAAGAAGATTATGCCGATCTGGGTGCACAACACCAGCAAATTGACTTATCTGCTGCGGCACAGCGCAATTGGAATAGTTTCCGGATGGCCATAACCGATCACATGTTCGACCACCAGAATGGGAGATATGTTCCACACTAGTATGCCTGTGGTGTGCCAGTTTGATGCTTAAACTTAGCTTCAAGTGTTTCTGTACTATATGAAATATTTGTACGTAATGGCTAAAACTGTAACGGGGACCTGATGTGCCTTTTGCATTCCAATTTGCCTTTATTTTGGATATTCTGGACTGATCGCTATGTAACCTTGTGCTAAGATATGTGTTTTCTCTGTTTACACAAGCCAAGTGGGGCGAAATGAACACGGAAATTAGTCACAGGCTATAATCTTTGTTTTTAGATTATTCTTTTGTAGCTAATGTGCTAGGCATATGTTACAAGGCTAACACAGTTGACATGTCAATAGATTGATTTGCTATATGACATTAGCGAGTAAAGGAATGTTGGTTATGAGCTGCTGCATATCCTTGCTTTCATTTGTAGCCTTATCCGTAGGTTGCAATTTTACTCCGTACTATGGCCAGGTGTAGAATGTCATGATGCAATGGCTGAACCTGAGGTATGAATAGCAGACATTGTTATTGCAATGTAGGACTTATTTTTATATCTGCTGCATTTATCAATGGATTCTTGTCAATTTTTGTATGGCCCCGTTCATAATGGCCACTCATGTTAATTGACTGGGGCCTCTGTTTAGCTGTGCAACCAGCAATCTGCCACTTTTTTCGCCAATCCTTTGTTGCACTTCGTAACATTGGGCCTGTTTAGCAACATTACCCAGGCAAAACTGCACCTTTTAGTTCCACGTTTATAGCAAATGCGAGGAATGTTCATAGCAAGCTTTGAAATGATCATTGCAATCTCAGGTCAGGAAACTACCCTATTCGCTTGCCGTGCCATTGTTTTATGTTCTGGTTTTCATAAAAGGCTCATGCAGGAGAATTTGGATACTGATTTTAATTTACTGCCCTCGTAGCCTTCACCTTTGCATATTATGGATCCGGATCATAGTCCCAATTCTCCTGACCGTTACAGCCTTTTATGTCTATTTTAAATCGCTTGCCGAGACTATGTTTCAGATAAGGCAGTTATTGCCTAACCAACAATCAAAAGGTTGGCGCCATATTTTCCAGTGAAATTTCCAGCAATCCAAACAACATACTTGAACAAGTGCAATCCAAACAAGTTTCCATGTTTTCCGTCGGAAAACAACAGTGATTTTCCATCGGAAAATCGCAATCCAAACGCCACCTAACCTTATTCCAAAAACCCCACCGAGAGCTTTTTCTTA